TTTTTTTTTAACTGATTTTTGGAGAGAGGACGGGGCGGAGAGAGGGAAACAGAAAGGGAAAGAGAAAAGCGTGGACGCGAGAGAGAGGCGTCGGTCCGATGTCTCCCGCCGGCCGGTGCCCGGACCCGGGGTGGCACCCGCCCCCGCTCGGTGTGCGGGACGGCGCGCCAACCACTGAGCCATACCGGCCGGGGCCTGACACCCCCCCACACACACACACACCCCTTCTTCCCCGCCCGGTTCTTCCTCTTAGACCCGGGGTTCGCGCCGCCTCTGCCAGGTCTCACGTGGGCTCGTTGTCTGTGTTGTGCTGGTTTTCTTTCTTTTTTTCAGAAAAGCACTTTGTTGGCTTCCTCCATCCCTCTTCCCCACTCTCCACCCTGGTGCCTCCATCGCCACGTTGCTCTGTGTCCCCTGACCTCCCGCCTGTGGACAGGGACGGTCTGACCCCTCCCGGGGCTCCAGCGTCCGCACTGGGGAGCCGCTGCCCCGGGAAGTCAGCCAGATGAGCCCTGGCCGGTGTGGCTCAGTGGGCAGAGTGTCAGCCCCGGAGACTGAAGGTCCCGGGTTCGATTCGGGTCAAGGGCATAGACCTCGGCCGAGCCTGCCGGAGGCAACCCATCAATGTGTCTCTCTCACATCGCTGTTTCTCTCTGTCTCCCCCCGTCCCTTCTCTCTCTAAAAATTAACAAAAGGAAAGAAAAATCAGCGGACAAAGTATCCTTGGGTGAGGACCAACAGCAATTTAAATAAAAGAGAGATTGGACTTGACCGTGATTTTAAAAAAAAAAAGCCAAATGAGGGGAGTGGACAAAACATTTTTCTTAAATATATTTCTTTATTGATGTCAGAGAGGAAGGGAGAGAGAGAAACATCAATGATGAGAGAGAATCATGGATCGGCTGCCTCCTGCCCCCCCGCCCCCCCACTGGGGATCGAGCCTACAACCTGGGCATGTGCCCCAACGGGGAATCGAACCTGGGACCCTTCAGTCCGCAGACCGACGTTCTATCCATTGAGCCGGCTACAGCGACAAAACATTTTTTAAAGTCAATGGAAATGCTTTTTAAATTGTGAGTTTTATGTTAATAAAGATCCTGTTTTCTCTTCGCAGGAGCCGTGAAGTTCAGGAAACATGGTAAGTTGTACACCTGCCCCAAGCTGTTGCCTGACGAGGCGTCGTGCTGGTACGCGGCTGAGGACATGGGGGCGGGAGGGAAGGAGGCGGAGGGGCCTCGCCTCGCCGGTTCCGCCGACACACCGGGCTGTGTGCCAGGGCGTGGAGGAGGCGGCCGCGGGCTTGTCGGAGCTGCCCCGCGGCGGGACTCACCGTGTGTGCTTCCTTCGCAGTCTCGGAGGTATGACTCCCGGACCACCATCTTTTCCCCAGAAGGTAAAGACTCCGTCTTGTCTGATCCGTCCTCAAAATGTTTCTCAGAGTTTGACTTTTTTTGGGCGAGAGGGGGGGGGGGGGGGTGTAGACACTTTTTTTTTTATCGTCGCTCATTCTCTGTGCTCGGAAGTAACTGGTCACCAGGATGATTCCATGCCACACGGGAGCGTGGAGGCGGGACTCGTGTGTGCGGCTGCGTGTCCCTGCGGACTCTGGGCCAGTGCTGCAGGCACCAGAGCTGGCGTCGGCGTCTCACCGCTGTGTTCTGCAGGCCGCCTGTACCAGGTGGAATACGCCATGGAGGCGATCGGGCACGCCGGCACCTGTCTGGGGATTCTAGCCAACGACGGTGTTCTGCTTGCAGCCGAGCGGCGCAACATCCACAAGCTCCTGGACGAAGTCTTCTTCTCCGAGAAGATTTACAAACTCAACGAGTACGTGAGCGCCGGGGGAGCGTGCCCGTAGCTCACGCGCTCACATAGTAGGACCTCACCTGCTTGGGGAGGGCTGTTCCATGTGACAGTAAAACGGAAGTGAGCAGGTTGTGGTGTTTTTACTGGCAGAAATGTTTGGGTTTTATTTCATTTGAAACCTCTTTGAGGCTTAGGACCATGTGTAATTTTTTTTAATATGTATTTTTATTGATTTCAGAGAGGAAGGGAGAGGGAGATAGAAACATCCATGATGAGAGAGAATCATGGATCGGCTGCCTCCTGCACGGCCCCACACTGGGGATCGAGCCCACAACCTGGGCATGTGCCCTGACCGGGAATCGAACCCTGACCTCCTGGTTCCTAGGTTGACGCTCACCACTGAGCCACGAGGTCCAGGCTGTGTAATTCTTTTTAAGTGCAGGGACTAGCAGTTAGTGGAGAAACGGTGCTTTGTGTTGATAGGATTACAGTGTGGCTGTGACAGATTTGGTTAAGTCCACGCTCTGCTGATCAAGCTGTGTGGCTTGGCAGCACTTGTTTAACTTCTCTGGGCCTCAGCGCCTCCTAGTGGTGGTGGCCGTTCAGTGAAATGGAACAAAGTGAATGAGACAGGAGCCCAGTGTGGGACGTGTAGCAGCCCCGCGGAGTGTTGTTCAGAACGGCTGCTCGGGAATTTCATTGCGTTATCCTGGCGCCCGCCTCCGGGAGGTCTGGGAGCGGTTAGAGGAGCCCGTTAGCTTCGGGTGATGGGCGAGCAGGACTGCCTGGCTGGCGGGTGGGTCTGCCCAGGAGAGACCGCCCGAGTGGCGGGCCGGCTGTGCCGTTTCCGGGCCTGGTGATACTCGCCCAGGGAGGCGTCACCCTCCGCAGTACTGCCGGTCCCCGGGGCAGCTCGCCGGCTCGCACAGGCGCGGTGACAGCGGGTGTGGGCTGCAGGGAGCCGGGCATCCTCCGGGAACCGGGCAAGGACAGGAAGTGCACCCTTGGAGCCGAGCCCTGGTCCCCTCCCTGCACCCCGACCAGGCCTTGGCAGGTGGAATACTTGCTGCCCAAGAGCATGGGAGTCTCCTGTCTAGCAGAGCCTTTTTCTGAATCTCCTCGGGATTCCCGTTGCTTCCTGGTGTTCATTCTCTGCAGCGGTTCACGGTGTGGGGGTGACAGATCCGTCTGCTGAAGAGCTGAAGGGGGTGGGGTCTCTCCTGTCACATGACATCGGGTTTATCCTACAAAGAGAACTGTTCAGACAGAAGCTTCTGTGGCAGGAAGCAAGCATGGTCCCTTCCAGGAGAAGGTGGCA